AAAAAAAAAAAAAAAAAAAAATGCACCAAAGGCCCCCTAAAAACAAACAAACCTGGAGGCATCAACTGGACTCCCTGTGGTGGAGACCCAGGCAGTAATGAGCTCATGAGTGGGTTATCAGGGGCTGGGTTATCTAGTGGCATGCTGTTTGGTGGGCTCGGATGGTCCAAGTCAGAGCTAGGGCTGCTGCACTCAAACTGTATCGGAGTTGTTCTGTCTGCATTGTACGTAATCAGACCCGTCTAAGAAACACAAAGCATCAAATGATTGATTGACACAAACTATTAAAAATGTTCACATAATTATTATACACAGCCTAATTTTTTTTTTCTATTCAGAAGAAAAGTTTACACAACCTCCCTATATGACAACTGCTTATGTCACAACAGAATTAGAGTACAATGTTTTTCCTTCTCCTCACTTTGATCTGTCCATCCAGCTGTCTCAGGCGAATCAGCCATTCCGGCTCAACGAACAACTCCTGCTCTGGTTTCTCCTTCAGTTGTGGATCGAAGAACCGCAGCTTTTCAGACATCTGTTGGCAAACAGTGTAACAGTAACCTTTGTCTGAATGCAACGCTGCAAAGTATTTAAGTGACTATATTTAGGCAAAAATCACAGCTAAAGAGGAGAATAAGTGTATACCTGTATGATCTGACTGATAAAAATGGGGGAGTAGTAAGAAGGCTGCACGAGGACGGTCTTCGAGATAACTTCGCAATAATGGAAGGCCTGAGCGCTCAAGCCTGCCTCAGCCAAGCGGCATGCATAGATCAATTTAAACACCTAATGAGAGACAAGAAGAACAGAAGAGAGTGATACTTAGTAATATAACATGATAAACATCACTGTAAATAATGCAGTCGTGTATAAAGTTCTTGGTTTATACATATTATTTATTGGTTTGTCAACTGGTTTAAAAAAAACAAACAAAACAAAAAAAAAAAAAAACTCACTTGGAAATTTGGCAGCGAACAAGGTTGTGAGCCTAGAGACTGAGCATACTCATAGGCTTCAGTCCTTTGGATTGCTTCATTAGTCGCAAATTGAGAAAAGGGCAAACTGAAAAAACAAAGATGAGGTTACACATGTTTACTATAAAATGTGAGGACTTAAATTTAACATCTAGGAGCTACGTGGGTGTGGTTATTGCATTAACCTGTGGTTGGAGCCAATCAGGACCATCTTTGTGCTCTTCTTTGTGAAAACGCCAAGACCAACTTGAGCCATCAAATAACAGAAGTGTGCTGCATCAACCAGGCCCTTCGAAGCTGGCATGAGACAAAATGAGTGCAGACAGAGTTTAAGGGTGCATGTTTGTTGCCAGCGCTCTTGATTACTGAATTCTTGACAAAACCCTACCAAGTGTGTCGCCCATGGTGGTAATTGTGCGAGTATCCAAATCCAGGGTGTGTGTGAGGTTTGACAGCACCATGGCCAAATGAGGACGCCAGTCTCCCCACTTCTCCTCCCCGCAGCACTGTGTGGGAACAAGACATATGTTAGCCAGGGCAAAATAAACACGCCTTTTTTTTCTTTTCTTTTTTAAAACAAGTGTCTAAAGCTACAGTACATACTGGAAGCGATTTATTGCCACCAGAGAAAGTGAATGATATTTGGCACCTTCAAGTGACTACAGGTGAAGTGGGTAGGACCTGCAATAAGCTTTCAGGCAAGTGACTGAAGAGACTACCAATGAGAGTGAAGAATACCATTGAATGATATATGGCCTGCTAGTAAATACATTAGAGGGTCATCTAGGCAATCGGAGCCTGTCCACAAGTGACTGAAACACTTCCAGTGTGTTTGGCTTAAGGAGGGTAAAACAACACTTACGGTGGCTGACGCAGGCATCCTCCCCGACATCAGCTGGTATACTGTCTGAAGAGGGTCATTTATGGGCAAACTGTTAGCAAACCTACACAACAAAGACACACACACACGCACACACACACACACACACACACACACACACACACACAAAATAATATAATAACAATCATAGAACAAATAGGACCAAAGTTAATTATTCTCACATCTGATTTCTTTACCTCGTCATGACTCGGGCATGAGTCCTGTTGTCCATCTTACTGGCCAATAGCAGGGCATGGCCCCAGAGACCTCCCTTCATGGCTGCTTCTAGTGCATCCTAATTCAACAACGTTCAGGTATTTAAAATCTTGCAAGTTAATACCTCATACTGCATTTCTTATGTACAATTTTACCTTCTTTCGGCCAAACAGCAGCAGCTCCCTGAAGCGTTCTGTTTCTTTGCCAAAATTTTCTGGGACAGTCATGAAAGTGTCCGACAGTAGAGACAGTGGTCCGGCTCCAGGCTCTTCCTCGGCTCTCGCCAGTGGCTCGTTATTAAAATCAATCAAGTTGGCTTCATTAGGACTCTTGCCGGGAAGCCAGACAGAGCGATGCTCCTTCAGCAAGAGGTCAGCAATATCTGTGCCCACAACAGTCTGAGGAAACAGAGTACGAGTTAAAACGTTGTCTCACGCAATTGTGAAAAGCCACAGTCTTGCCTTAATTTCAATGTATGGTAAGTTTAGTGGTGCCTACACAGTCTTACCCCATTCTGTCTACATAGCAGCATGATGAAGTCCCAGAGGAGGCGGGCAGAGTCTCTGTCTAAGAGGTTGTTATCACGGGAACACTCCAATGCTTTGTTCTGGGAGAATTTAATCACGTCCACCTTGTGAGTCTCTTCCCTGATGGACAAGATGCAATATTAAAACAGAAAAGCAGTCAATGATGCATTCAATATAAATAGGGAGTTTTAGGCTCTGGCTAGGAATTAGATTTATTTCATTGCTGTTACGGCCCTGGCCATAAGCTGAATCCTGGTGGCCGTTTTAGGTTTTTTCTGTCTGTGTCTTTAAGAGGCTCTTCAGGTTCTTCCTAATTGGAAAGCTGGCTGCTGCTGATTGGCTTCTTGATCATGTGGCTGCTTTGAAAATCCCTCACCAGCAGTTCTCCCGGGGCAGCAACTGACAGCAGCAGCAGCAGACCCGACCATGGCCTCCAAAACCCTCTGTGATTTTTGTGCTTTCCTGATTATTGAGCTTTGTAAATAAATAGATTATGGATCACATGTAAATAGGGGCACAGTTTTCTCCTGTTTATTCAGTTAGGGGTAGCACCTGTCGTTTGTTTGGTTTGTGTTTCACCTAGGTTTTAGGTAGCACCTCCCTTTTTGAATGTTTGTTATTTTGGCGTTTGTTCACCCCAGAGTTAAGCTTTCAGTTTGGACAAAACAACCTTTCACTTGAAATTTGGCTTCTGGGTATGGTTTTGGGGACAAGGGTGGCGTCACTTCCTTTTTGTCTACAGCTTTTGGTTGGCAGTTTTCTGGTAGGGTAGGGGGTATACTAGCCACAATGCCTTTTGATGTGGATGGTTTTGCACAACGGCCCACCATGGATAAGTTGCAATGATGCACGAAGGCAGATTTGTTGTTGGTGGCTAATTTGTTTAATGTTAGTGTCCCCTTAAATGCACAAAAAGCAGAAATTAAGCAGTGTATGGCAGAGCAGCTGGTAGAAAAGGGGATAACTGCAAAGGTGAAACCTCGACTGGTTGATGCTTCTGAGAATTTGGTGGTGGATGTGGGAGCAGAAGCTGCAGCAACCATCCCACAAGCTGTCAGTGGATGGATGACACTGGGGCGGAGGCTCCTGCTGCCATTTAGGTCCCAAACATTGAACCAGCCGGTCAGTTACAGGCAGGAATGGTTACAGAGGATATCAAGCTCGCCCTTTGCCTGAAAGAGGTCGAGCTTGAGACTAAAGCCAAAGAAGCTGAGCTTATGCATCCCCGCGTAAGGGCTATGGAGCTGGATCCTTCCCAGGAACACAATGCTATGTCTACCCCGTGAGCAAAACTTCCGAGACATTCTCCTCTGACCAGTTCAATGCAAATAAACAAGTTGCCTTAGGGTCACCTTTCAGAGAAAGTGAGGTTGATTCTTACTTTAACGCCTTTGCATCACAACCACTTTAAAGTGGCCCAGTGGTTAGCTGCGAGTAAAGTGAAGGATTTTATTAGCTAAGAGAATTCGTCCTATTGGAAGAATTCAAAATGTGTCTCCCTGAGAATGTTGTTGTGTATCTCAATGAGCAAAAGGTGGTTTCTAAAGCTGCTGTTCTCACAGATGAGTTTTCGTTTTCAGCTGTGCACCATGAAAAGGTTTCTCCTAAGTGTCAAACGCTCCCTGATCTAGTTCCCATGACTCGTCGTGAATACTTTTATTGCCGTGACACTGGACATCTCATTGCGAATTGTCCGTTGCTTCGCCGCAAAGAGCAAGCTCAAACCTCGAAAAAGACAAAAAGTGTTGGTTTCGTTCGGTCGGTGTCTGCTCCTAATCCTGTCAGTGATGAACCAGGAAATGACTGCCTTGACAGCAGTTACTGACCTTTCATTTCAAAAGGGCTTGTCTCACTGAGTGGGAAAGAGGAAGATAATGTGCCGATTGCAATTTTGCACGACACTGGGGCTACCCAGTCTCTCATTTTGGAGAGCGCGGTGCTGACGCTCTCGTATGAGGAGTGAAAATGAGTGTGTTATGGGCTCCGATCGAGAAAACACTAAACACCACTAATTTGAGGGATTTTCTTTCTCCCAAGTACTGAAAACTCAGTGTAACCACCTCTGAAGTTTTCTGATCAGTTTGTTTGTGCAGTGCATTGTCTGAATAGTAGCATGTTTTGTGCTTGGGGTCTGCTCTGTCTTGCTGCCCACAGTAACTGTCCAATGATGGCTGTGGTGCCCTTGTGGGATTAATAGGAATAGGCTGTAGGTTTTTTTTTTTTTTTTTTGTTTTTTAAAATGTACATATCTTCTTGTACTGAAGAGAATGAAGCTCTATCCCGACGTAGCTGAAGCTGTTATGTTCTTCTCGTCCAACTTGAAAAGCAGCTTTCAGTTTGGGGATGACTACTGTGGAGAACATGTCTGAACCACCCCACATAAAATCATCTACATGACATGCAAGTACCCCTGTCACCTTATAGAGATCATCTAGCCAGTAGAAGACAGCTGAATCTACTTTTGACACTGTGCCCCCCAGCTTCTGCATGGTTTCTTTCACCCAGTTTTACCTGCATAATGAAGCATCTGCCAGGCCATAAACACATTTATTCAATTTCATGTAGTTCCTTTGCTCTGTGCTTCTACCGGTGGTAACTGAGCCACGTTAACGCAGCTTAAATGTGTTAATGCCGCCATCATGATTAAGGCGATTAAAATTTTTAACGTACTCAACCAGTCCAGCTTTGGGTACAATGCCCACTGGTGTTTCCTTGAGTGTGCACACCCACCTTGTTGATATACATTTCTGACCCTTGTCTTTCTCCTCTTTAAACACATCGTTTCTTTTCCAGTTGTCAAGTTCAGTTTGTTTGGCTTGTGAGAAGATGTCTTCCTTCACCACTAATCTTTCATCTCTGTCTGTGCATGACTTGGCATCTTCAGACGGTGTCACTTGGAGGTTGTTTATTTGCTGCACATTAATGGAACCCATGGATCCAGCAATTTCCTCGGGCTCACTGTACTCCATGTTGTACCACTTTGTGTTTCCCAGTGGCTTTTCCTGCTCGACTGATTATTTTTCCAGCATATGTTTGACCTGTTTCTTTGTCTGTGTATTTAATTATTTGTCCAACTTTAAGTTTTAGTCCTTCTATATCTGTGGTTGTGTGGGACAGTGTAGGACCTCTTTCTCTAGCTTGTACTGGATCACAGAAGGACTGTTTTCTGTAGTACCAAGCAGTTCATTTTTTGTTGATGCCATCTCCTCACGTTTGCTTTCAAAAAATCGTGTTCCTCACCAAGTACCACTGCTGGGGTCTTTAAAAGATTTTCATCTGTTTTAATCTGATTTTCCTCTTCAGTTTCTTCCATTTTCACTTGTGGTTCATCCACTTTTCTGAGCCTAGACTGGTGTACTCTGACATAGGTTCCTCCACACCTGGCAAATATTACTACACCTTGGCCAATGACCACACCTGGACCTTTCCACTCATGACAATCTCTCCTTTTATAATGGACTTCGGCCCCAATTTCATATTTGTCAACAATGGATTGCAGCTGTTTGCGAAAAGCTCTTCGTATCTCTCAGAGCATTCAGCTTTCAATGTTAGTCCAATAATCAAACAATTGACATTAGAAGTCCAACTTTAATGGTCGCCTTCCTTTGCACAACCACCGAAAAGCCAACCCTCCAGACTTCTACTCCCCCCTTTTCCACCTGCGTGTAGCCACCCCCTCCACAGGACACTTGTGCAGTAGGTTACATACATCTTAACACAAAGAAGGTAGAATTCCCTTACTTGACAAGAGGTCCAGGGAAACCTCGCAGTTCTGCCTGATCAGTGGTATCCTGCAGCATGGTCTATAAATACAGGCAAAGGATATAATAATTCTTCAGATGTCTTTCAGATTATGGTCACACACACACACACACACGCATTCAGTCTAAGTTTACGGGCAAATGCTAACAGTTACTTCAGGGCTTCTATCAGAAGATAATGGATATCATCAATACTGTTCCATCTGCTCATCATTTTTTTATGAATGAAGATAAATTCAAATTAACAAGAAGTTAAATCACTGTTAGACAACAGCTGATGGTTTTGAGACTGCATTCTAGCTAATGCAATCTCTCTTTTGCCCTTCGCACAGGATGTTTACCTGCATACTGCTCAAAGGTTATTGCTCAGTATTACTGGGACTATGAGCAGACATCTCGTCTCTTTCCTACTTTATGGGAAAAGCTGTGTGAATCAACCTATACAATCTAGTGGTCTTTAAGTGTCAGTGATTTCAGATCATTTAGTGTTGTACATTTAACATTTTGTGTCTGCTAAAGTAAATCCGCCATAATCTTAATGAGATAAATAATGGGAAATAGAAAAAAAAGGAAGAATTTTTTCCTTAAAAGACACACAGCTCATTAGTTTTAGTGCTGCTTATTTTGCTAGGTTTATTGAAACCGGAGTAATACAGTTTCAGGAACATCTTCCAAAAGACCCAAAATAAACAAACAAAAAAAGCCAACCAAAAAACAAAACAATATATCAATGAAATATGGTCTGTTAAAGCCATACCTCAAGGTTGTGGATGTCAACTAGAGCAGGCTGTCCTGCTGAGGGCAGATTTGGCAGAACCTGAACAAGATGTCCACCAGGTCCAAAACGAGCACAGCGGTGTGGTATGGTGAACTTTTCTGGGGTTGCAGGACGAGGAGGGGCTAGAGGAGAAAAAAACCCAAAGAGAAACAGACCATTCAACTCAGCTAAGGACCCTTAGAAATGAAAAAAATGCTTCAAAGAGTGATGCAGCACTTACGCTGCTCAGGGGCAATCCAGGTGCTTTCGGTGGTATACCCAGAGGGATAGTACTGGCTATAGTTGTGAGATGCATCAGTCTGATCTGGGTACTGCCCATAGGAGTAATCCACAGCCAGAGTGGATGATGTGTTATCATATGCTGCTGACACCAAGTCAGGCTGGCTCCTGTACACTTGGCTCTGTAACAAAGAGAGAATTATTATTTATAATGCAAATGAAACATAAAAAAAAAAAAAAATACATGGAAAAAGAATTTGTAAATTAATTTTTGCTTTAACAATATTTCTACAGTGATTACTCATAAATTTTGGCCTGGTCTCCATTTGTGGTTCAGCCAGATAACTGCATACACAGAATACTTGTGAGACATATGTGGGAAAAAAAAAATTGCCTGTTGCGATCGTGAGCTGAAGCTACTCCGTCTGCTGTGGTGACTGTGGGAGCTGTGGACTGACTGTTCACTGTGGACACTGCGCCGGTCAAAGTCATCACCATAAGCATCTCCCTGACGACGGTAGTCCTCATCAAAGCTAGCATCGTAACCAGGATAGTACTGCCACTGGTCCTCATAGCCAGCCTTCCTGTGAGTGAAATGTTGTAAATTGAATTTAGATTTTCTTTTTCCATGAGACACGCATGAACAATAACACTTCTTACACTGCCTTTTTATTACTCACTGTAAATGTACATTAATATTATAACAACTCCATGATGTCCAAACAGTATTCTCTGCATACCTGGTAGGATACATAGATTGATTGCTGTAGCTGTCTCCCCTTCTGCTATCATCATAAGCCCAGTAGGACTGGTCATAGTATCCTCTATATCTGGGGTCATAGTGTCCATAGTATCCTTTATGCAGAAAATATGAAACGGAGACAGGGAAAGACATGAATTAAGAAAAAAATTAATAAATAAATATTCAAAGCTTTCAACACTATGAGCTACGAGCCATACCTCCAAAGTACTTGGCATAATTTGCATAATAATCACTATAGGCACTTTGGTTTGCTCTGTGGTAATCCTCGTGATAGCCTTGCCTTAAGGGGAGAGAAAAAAACAATTCAAAGATAAGGTAATGATGAATGAAGTAGTACAATGTATTAACACAGATTTTTTTACATCCAACAAAACCAACATCACAGCAGGGAATTCTTTAACTTGCAAAATCCTCTTAAGATACTTAAAAACTCAATTTATAAATCAGAAACACGTGAAAAGACAGTACACACCATTCAAGTGATCTTGTGAGTTTCACTAACCTGGATGATGGCCTGTCAGAGTACTGGCTGGCTCTAGAGTTAGGACGCTCCGGCTGAGGCTCTCTGTACTGGTAGTTTGTATCACGATAACTTTGGGTCTGCCCCTCATATCTGCCATACCAAGGATCTACTCTGTTCCTGTATGGTCCTGCCTAAGAGATAAGAGCACCAATAGAAATTGGGAAATAAATATTCACATGCTAGGTTAAATAAAAGGACACCTTATACTTACTTGATAATATGGCTGTGCTCTAGGATCCCCAGATGGAGGTGGGTATTGGCCAGAAGGATATGGTGCTCTGCTATCTGGGTAGTCTCCATAATTATTATAATAGCCACTATACATCTGACCCGGTGCTGGTGGAGGCCCATAGCCTTGATGGCTTCCTGCAGAGGACGGTGGGCGAGGTGGCTCCGCAGGAGTTGTCTGTGGAGCCCCTGGAGGACCTTGAGGCCCAGGAGGAGGAGCATTTCCTGCAGATGGCCCCTGTATTGGAGCAGGATACTGGTAACTGGGGGGTTGTGCTCCACTCGCTGTAACAGGAGGAGCATCTTTTTGTCCGTGCTGTGCAGCCTGAGAATCTAATACCTTAGGAGGTTCTGCTGGGGGCTGCTGGGTGTTTGGAGCTGTTTGAGAGGGTGCTGGTGGTACCTGTGTGGTAGATGAAGAAGTTGGAGTCTGGACAGAGGCATTCCCTTCCACTTTTAGAGCATCTTTGGTGACCTGTAGGTAAAATCCATTACTAGATTGTGGAGACTCGTGAAGAGAGGAAGGGTGTCCAGAAGCCTGGCTCTGGGCTTGTGATTGGTGCATAGAAAAATCAAGGAGTTCATAATTTGATGGCTGATTATGATTAGAGGAAGGATCATTCACAAGAGAAGTTTGCAGATTAACTTGGAGAGCAGAGTTACTCTCTCCAGCCACTGATTGACCCCTTGAAAGAGGAGGGCGGACAGGCTGGGGATGCGGCGATGCTGTGATTTCTGATGTCGTAGCTGCTGTGTTGTCTCGAGTCAGATTGAGTGGACTCTGATTAGAAGCCGAAACACTGAAGCTCAGGATTCCAGGAGAAAAAAGTGGATTTTGATTACATGTTACTGAAGCTGGTTGGGAGGTAGTGGGACCCTGCCCCTGTGCAATCAATCTCACAGGTGGGGTAGTTTCCCTAAGGCTACTTTGAGTGGCTGCTTGAGGAGTGGTACTAGGGGGAATCACACTGTAATTGGACACTGGCGGAGCAATGAAAACAGGTTGGTGAAGCGAGCCAGACACAAGGAGAGATGCATAGCCCAGGTTGCCTTGAGAGTCACTTGGCTCTGCCTCACTCACCTTTGGCGGGTTCTCTAGATTCTCTGAGTGCTGATGCGAAGGTGGCTGGGTTCTTTGGGAGGGCTGCAGGTCCAGTGGACCATCCTCTGGAGGTTGGATAACATCAGCACTTGGCTCTCGTAATGGGGCAAGAACTATTGGGGCAGCAGGGGCGAGGAGGATGTTACCGCCCAAGGTCGTAGGATCATTCTGAGCCCACAGAGTAGTGGCAGGACTCTCACAGGGCTGATTAACTCCATGAGCACGGGATGAAGGTCGAGAGTGAGAATAGACCACTGGGTGTGTCAAAGGAGGTACGGCACCTCCAGCACCTGCAGGCAGAGGGTGACCTGAGCCATAAACATTTTCCATATTGTCTGGTGGCTGCTCCATATTACCTGGTGTACAATCTGCACCCCCTTCTGCTACCATTTTAGCCCTGTCAATCTCAGCAGGACGCACCCCGACCCCATGTGAGCGCACAGGTTCGAAAGAGCTGTTAGCACTGGCCTGAAAGATACCGGTTGGTTTGGGAGGGCTAGGCGTGGGGGGCCACATTTGCTCCAGAGAGCTCTGCTGTACACCCACATCTCCAGCTGGAGAAGTGTCAATCTGTTCAAAGTAGCCTCCAGCTGCAGCTGCAGCAACAGGCTGATTAGGATCATCAGAGAGTCGTGAGCTTTCCTGTTGAATAAAGGTGCCCACCACCCCCTGATGTCGACGAGTGCCTGTTCCACTCCCATGGCTCATGTTGCTGTAGTTGGACGACACACTGGCAGATCTCATTGGTCTGGGAATTGAATCTGGAGTCTCCAGGTTGGGTCCAGTTTCAAACTGCTCAGCACTGTGGGGTGCAGTAGCAGCAGTATTACTATGGATTTCACTGGGTAATACTTCTTGGTTTGGAACACACTCCAAATTCTCTACATGGTCAAACTGTGAATCCGATGGCTTCTGAGCATTTCCCTGTGATGGTTGATTGCCATCGATCATGTAAGGTACTTGTGAGTGATCTTGAAGAAAAGCTCCTTGGTAATCTGAAGAAACATCTGCATGACTACTGTGTGCCTGCTGGTTGTTGTGAAGTTGAAAAGTTCCAGCAATACCATTTACTGCCTTATTTCTCTCTGCAGACAGCGTTTCCTCATTTTCCACATCATTGTCTTTGAAGAACATTGAAAGTGTACCGGATTCCTGGTAATGTGGAAGTGGGGCTGGGACAGTACTAGAACTAGGCCCAGGCCCAGTACTGGTTGCAGGCTGAGATCCAGCAGCGTCAAGAAGGGGCTGAGGATGACCTATACCAGTACCCATTTGATGGTAGCCCGAGTCCTGTGGGGGCGGGTTAAACCAAAGATCTGGTGCAGCAGAGCTCTGACTGAAGTAACTCTGTGTTTGGAAATGGGAATTATGCTGTTGGGGACCATTTGGGTCTGGCCACTGAGAAGTAGGAGGTTTTAGTGGATTTTGAGAAGGAAGAGAAGCCTGATTCTGAAGATGTGCAGGTTGGGTCGGAGGGGTAGGGGTGTTGTGAAGGGGTGATGGGCTGTGGGAGGGGTACATCTGGGTTTGTGGAGGTATATTAAATGGCTGTGGTACAGGGTCACTAGTAGGCTGGAAATAGTTCTGAACTGATGGGGGGCGACTTCCGTGATCAGGGGCCCACTGGGAAGAGGAGGTGGTGACCGGTGGCAGTGGCTGGAAGGGCACTGGCAGAGGACCAGACTGTCCTTGAAATTCAGGGTTCAAAGGTGTCTGACTAGGTTCTGAGGCTGTAGCCATAGGTGCTGACTCTGTGGATGCAGATGGTATCTGTTCTCTTGAATTAAAATATCCCTGTTCATTATGTGAGGATACGTATCCAGTTGGACCAAGGGGTGGTGTACTGTGAGGGTTGAAGAGGGTCACTCCAGAAGCAGCAGCTGTGGCACCCTCCAGTGTCTGTGGTTGCGGAGGCAGCCCTGAGCCAGGTTGAGGGTACATGGCATTAGATGGTGTTTGCACTGGTGCAGGGTTGCTGTTAGATACTGTTGGGAGGCCACCTGCAGCCATAGGGGGAGGAGCTCTACTAAAAGCAAAAGGGTCCGTCATGGGTTGAGCAACAGGAGGCATTGTGGCAGGAGCTGCAGCAGCATGCTTGTAAGGCCTGGTCCTGCGGAACATATTGGGCCCAGAAGGAGGAGGGCCAGAGGCTCCTGGTCGTCCAGTCCGGGGAGGGGGCTGCATGTCCGCAGAGTTAACAGGTCCGAGGACCAGGTCACTCTAAGAGATCTCACTGAAGACTGAAGTCAGGCGTAGCTGAATAGAGACAAGAAAGAGGAAGTGATTAACAAAAAGCCCTGCCTCTTTGGGATACTTTACCACACCTTTGTTTGCATTTTAGCCTGTGGTCCTATTCAAACCAAACGTACAACGTGGCAAGTTCTACATCAGCCCTCAAGATGCTGTGGTGGGTAAATACATATAGTGCTCAATTCAATACAACACACTTGATTTTCTGTAATGCATACTTGGTATACTAGTATACTATCTACTGTTAATTAAATGGTCTGTAGAGCATTTGATGGTCATCTTACTGGTAATATATTATGAACCAAAGCACTGATGTAAGTCTATACACTTGTATAGTGTATATCACCCAGGTGAGGAAAATATATGAAATTTATGAAAATTTCCTTAAAAAAATAAACAAAAACAGGAAACTTAAATTAACATCACAGATCTCATGGAGGCTGCAAAGTTGAGTAGCTAAATAGTTTCTTTAAAAAGAAAAAAAAAAGCACCTGCTTTTGCGTCAAATGCAGCTTTTAGCAGAAAGTCAAACTGAACTGCTCTACTGACAAGAGACCACAGTGCCATTGCATCTATAGTTGTTTCTTGAGTTCAGGTAAGGATGAAATCAGCCAAACAGGGGTGGAAGCTATGATTACAATTATTTACACTTAGCATTAACTGGTAACTGTCACATGAGTCGTGCCACTACCCTTGTACAACATGTGTACACTTTTCTCAGTTGAAATGCAAAAGTTAATAGTGGACAGTCATTTAAATCACGCCACTACGTAGTATTAAGATCAAGGCCATGTATATTATTTGTCAAACAGAGATACTGAGCGTGTCTCAGTAGGAAGTTGAGTCAAGCTAACACGGCCTGTCAATAAGCATTTCAAATGCTAGATGTTTGGAGAGAAAGAAGACACGGAACTAATGTAACGTAGGGAAGTACATTTGGCCAGACGGGCTCTACCGGGGAGATCCCGGATCTTCCCGGCGCTCTAGGATATAAATTTACCAAGAGCCGTTGCACCCTCTTAAGCTTCGTATCGTTAGCACCGCAGATCTGCCAACTTAGAAAAGTCACAAAGTTAGCGTTGTTAGACATACGCTCCCTACTTCTTATCACTACTTGCCAGTTGTTCCAATATAGATGGCTGCTAAATCTCTTTGGTCTGGCACGACACTGAGATAGTGTTACACATTAAGCGACAGTCGGGTAAAGGTCCGGTGATTGGTACAACAGCTAACGGGAACCGTTCGGTGCTCCGTATGTCCCAAACGCCGGAGCCAGCAAATCACTAACATCTAAAGTCTGCCCGAATTCGTCCTTACACCAGCAGTTCTGTGAGTCACGAAAGGCGTAAAATTTCGGCACAAACTCAACATTGACATGGTTACACCGCGATAAGTTACAAGTCGCTGGCCACTCGTCGACCATAATTTAACAGGTTCACAGCCTGGTCAGCTAGCATTAGCACTGCTGCTTACTTAGCATTCCTGGCTAACTAGCCTGCGCTAATCACAAGGTAACAGTTCCCTGCCTGCCACAGACACCAGATTAAAATACCTAGAGTAAAACATTGTTAATTGTGTTGCAGATATACTCTTACCCGCTGTCGGAAATGTGTACAGAAATGAATAAATTCTTACAAGTATGCTGGAGTGTGACACACCGCCACCATCTTCAATGAACACATCCTACTAGGCTACGTGTACAAGCAGCGTCACGGGCCAAACAACTACTGCGTCGCAAGAGGGTGGGGTTTATTAAATACCCTTTCCGTATATTTATCATCCGATTCTATTTAAGTGCAAAGTTAATTGAAATATGGTATTTTGACGGCAATGCTATAATGAAAACACTAAATAGTCGTGTTTGACTTGGACATGGAAACTGCAACACAATTTTAATGCACTTAAAGGGGAATAAATAGGGACTCCAGATTCTAATAATGACATACCCTATGATATATCAAGTTCATGCTAAGCTATGTGTGCAATAAAAGACTATAACAGGCTGCTCGTGTTGTGTGAGGCATTATAATAGACTACCATAATAGACTATTTGTACCACTCAGTGTACAATTAAAGCATGCAAAACGGGTATTTGTCCACTGGGGAGCACTATCGTATCATCAACCTGAAAGCTTCTCGGATGAGAGGTGAAACGTCTTCAAGCAACTTAAAGAAGTCCAGACGCTTTTCTTTCCAAGCTCTTTAGACAACCTGAAATCCACTTGCTCCATATTGGCAAAGTAGGTAGGAATGAGCCACCAAAATAAAATGATCTTCACTTGTTCTTGAATATTGTGGCATAGAGTGACAGTTTGTTTAAATACCCGGTTCCACTTTTTACAGATGTCAACTAAAGCTGAAGTATAGTGGGATTTGGTCTCGTTAAATCAAGTCAAGGAAGTCAGAGTAAGTCAAAGTCAACCTTATTGTCAGTTCTGCAACATATACAGAACATAGAAGAATTTTAAAAAAAAAATCCCCCAGCCACAGTGCGAAACTATAGTGAATCAAAAATAAGAGAAAATAGGGAGATATAAGAATATGACGTACAGGTATGAATATACATATATATTATATCAAACTACAGCTCTGAATTGCATGAGATATATACAAGTAGTGCCATATATGTCTTAAAGTATATGAATTGTACAAGCATTCTTAAAGTTATATAGATTATTGCTGATTTTTGTATGAAAATATGAAGTATAATTGAATTACTAAAAAGTCTGTGTACAACATTACCGTTGAGACAACATCAGTATGGGACTGAATGTTTAGATAGCAGCAATATTCTCTTCTGCAACCATCAGCAGTAGTAAATATAAAGACTGGATTCAAGACACTTGTGTGCTGTCTTACTGTTGTCTTATTGGGAATGTTGTTGATTTTGAATGTGAACTTCCACAGACATAGTATGTGAAGTTCAGTTTCCACATCAGAAGCAAATGTAGAGGATTGCAAGAAAAAAAATCTCTTGCCACTGCACACACTATACAGATAAAAATAATTGGCCACACCTCTTGATGGTTGTTTTTTCTGAGCTTTGCCTTCAGCCTCTTAGTTAATTCAGATAAAACTGAGATTATTGTACTTGGCCTTGAAAATCTTAGAAATTTGGTATCTAACCAGATTCTTACTCTGGATGGCATTACCTTGGCCTCCAGTAACGCTGTGAGGAATCTTCGAGTCATTTTTGACCAGCAACGCACATATTAAACAAATATGTAAGACTGCTTTCTTCCATTTGCGCAACATCTCTAAAGTTAGAAAAATCCTGTCTCAGAGTGACGCTGAAAAACTAGTTCATTCATTTATTACTTCCAGGCTGGACTACTGCAATTCGTTATTATCAGGATGTCCAAAAAACTCGCTGAAAAGCCTTCAGTTAATCCAAATTGCTGCAGCAAGAGTCCTGACAGGGACTCAAAAGAGAGAGCAGATTTCTCCTGTTTTGGCTTCCCTTCATTGGCTTCCTGTTAAATCCAGAATTTAATTCAAAATCCTGCTCCTCACATACAAGGTCTTAAATAATCAGGCCCCACCTTATCTTAATGACCTTGTAGTACCATATCACCCTATTAGAGCACTTCGCTCTCACACTGCAGGCCTACTTGTTGTTCCTAGAGTATTTAAAAGTAGAATGGGAGGGAGAGCCTTCAGTTTTCAGGCCCCTCTTCTGTGAAACCAGCTTCTAGTTTGGATTCAGGAGACAGACACTATCTCTACTTTCAAGATTAGGCTTAAAACTTTCCTTTTTGCTAAAGCATATAGTTAGGGCTGGACCAGGTGACCCTGAATCCTCCCTTAGTTATGCTGCAATAGATGAAGGCTGCCGGGGATTCCCATGATGCATTGAGTTTTTCCTTTCCAGTCACCTTTCTCACTCACTATGTGTTAATAGACCTCTCTGCATTGAATCATATCTGTTATTAACCTCTGTCTCTCTTCCACAGCATGTCTTTATCCTGTCTTCCTTCTCTCACCCCAACCGGTCGCAGCAGATGGCCCCGTCCCTCCCTGAGCCTGGTTCTGCTGGAGGTTTCTTCCTGTTAAAAGGGAGTTTTTCCTTCCCACTGTTGCCAAAGTGCTTGCTCATAGGGGGTCATATGATTGTTGGGCTTTTCTCTGTATCTACTGTACAATATAAAGCACCTTGAGGCGACTTTTGTGGTGATTTGGCGCTATATAAATCAAATTGAATTGAATTGAATTGAATTAGTTCCAGTGAAGGGGAAATCTTATTAATGTGTCAGCTTACCACAACATTTAGGACAATTCTGTGCTTCTAACTTTTTGGAAACAGTTTGAATAAGGCTGTTTCCTGTTCCAGCATGGTTGTTAACTGGTGCACAAAGCAAAGTCCAGAAATACATGGTTGGGTGAGTTTGGTGTGGAAGAACTTGATTGGCTTTCAAAAGAGCCCTGACCTCAACCCTACTGAACACCTTTGGGATGAACTAGAGCAGAGACTGCAAGCATGCAACATTAGTGTCTGGTTTCACAAGCGCTTGTCTTGATGAAAGACCAAAACTTTCCACAGACAATTCGAAAGTGCAGAACATATAGAAACCCTTTCCAGAGAAACAGAAGTTGCTATAGCTGCGAAGTGGGGACTGATGCCATAAAAAAGATCCTGCTGTTAAAATGTGTAGAAGGCCCAAATACTTTTGTCTGTATTGTGTGTTTAATAAATAGGTAAAAACAAGAGGCCACCGAACATGAGAGGATCTGAAAAAAGTTAAAAGCAAAATGATTTTAAAAAATGTTATTTTTCCAGATTTAGGCACACTGTTGTTGCGTTTCTGAAGATAATCTGAAAGCACAGAACAGAAAGAAAATAATAAAGTACGACAGAAGAAAAACAGTCTTGTGATGAAGGGGCGACCTGACCGGGGTGTAACCCACCTCTGACCTTATGACAAGGATTAGGCTTGAGGCCTCATATGACCTAAATTGGATAATCTGTTAAGAAAATGAAATGGTGGGTGGATGGATAGAGTCCTCATAATTTGAAGGACAGATTACTTTTCCATGAATTGCATTAGGCATTTCTTTAGCTGAACAAGGTCAAAAGTGTACACTTTTTTTTTGTTCAAGTATATTATTATCAAATGTTTCATGTATTAAAATATCAAAATAAGCTGAACAAAAATCACTGAATCTTCTAGAGATAATTTATTCTGACAGATAAATGTACAGTATTAACTCCTGTCGCTGTAAGAATGCATTATAAC